CGTTTTTCCCGCCGTGTTGGACAGGTTGTCACACGAAGTGCGCCAAATGAGCTCGTCATCCACATTCTGCCGTTGTCTCTCCCCTGACGTGACGAGCCCAGAGGAAGACTTTTCTTGACTGTCGGATCTGTGTAAAAACACGTGTTTGCATACGTGCCAATGTGTTGTGTTCTCCTGTCTGCATTGGTGCGCACTGTGTGTTCCTGTCGCCATTTTGTCGATGTTTAGAAATGCCGTGTCTATACCGATTTTTGTCGGGATAAATCCTTTCGTATCTCATTGCAACCGAACAGGGTCAAACACTGATCGTCACTGGAGTGATTCATATCTGCTAATTTGAAATCGGAATCAGTCGGAATCACTTCTGCTGCATCGTAGTTACTCTTTGCATCGTCATTGCTGCGTATCACATCGTCATGTGGAAAATCGTATCTCGCTGCGTTGCAACGTGTTCGAATTGCAGTGTATCAGATTGTAATTGGGCTGAATCCTATCGACGAATTTATATTTGGAGCAAATCGGATCTCAATCGTAATTACGGTGAATCCCATCTACTGCTTTGTCCATCCATCTGTCCATTTCCAGATCCGCTTATTCTCACAAGGGTCGCGGGGCATGCTGGGGCCTATCCCAGTTGTCTTCAGGCAGTAGGCGGGGTACACCCTGAACTGGTCGGCAGCCAATCGCAGGGCACACATAGACGAACAACCATCCGCGCTCACACTCACACCCAGAGTGTTCCATTAACCTGCCACGCATGTTCTTGGAATGCGGGGGGGAAACCGGAGGACCCGGAGAAAACCCGCGCAGGCACGGGAAGAACATGCCAACTTCAAACAGGAAGGCTGAAGCCGGAATCGAACTCTGCACCTCTGTACTGTGACGCGGACATCCTCACTAATAATCTCCTCACGGTGTAGAGGTGCAGAGTTCGATTCCGGCTTCAGCCTTCCTGTGCGGAGTTGGCATGTTCTCTCCGTGCCTGAGTGGGTTTTCTCTGGGTACTCCGGTTTCCTCCCACATTAACGAAGCACACTAAATTGTCTTGAGGTGTGAGTGTGACGCAGATGGTTCTTCGTCTACGTGTGCTCTGCGATTGGCTGACAACCAGTTCAGGGTGGGCCCCGCCTACTGCCCGAAGATGGCTGGGATAGGCTCCAGCACGCCCCTTGACCTTCGTGAGGAGATGCGGATCAGAAACTGAATGAAGGGATGTTTCTACTGCATTGTAAATTTCGTGAAACCAACTTCTTTGCAACTGGAGTGAATTGAATGGCATTGCGTTGCACATGTAATGATGATAGCATTGGAGCAAATTGTATCTACGGGTATTGTGATCGGAGAGCATCCCACCTACTGAATCGTAATGAGAGTGAATCATATCTAATCATGACTGTAGTGAATTGCATGCTTTCACTTTGCAACAGCAGTGCCTCGCAACATAATTGGAGCAAAAAATAGCCGTCGCATCGTAATTGGAGTGAATCTGATGGATTGATTGAATTGGAATGAAGGTTCACTGTGTTTTATTACATCATCATAGAGTGTGTCATCCCAGAATTGAAGTAAAATGGTATCGTTTTGTAGCAGTTGTGTCCTGTGTCATCGCCCAAGTAGCCTGAATGGCATCACATCCCAAACGTTGTTTGTGCCGCAGACTGCGTGGACGTACGCGGCTCATCTGGATGATTGACAGCTGCGTGTGGGGCGCGAGCGTCCCAAAGCGTGTGGGCTATGGCATGATGCGAGCTCGCCGCCTCATTTTGTCCCAGTCACGGTTTTATCAACCCTCGGGCGAGCCCCTCGTGCCACTCGGCGTGGGCGTCGGATGCTGAGACCAAACACGTACGGTTTAAATCAGGTTAATAGGTAGGGTTAGGGTTTTAAAACAGAATTAGGGTTTCAAATTACAGATTCAAGTCAGGGTTAGGGTTTCAAATTAGTATTTAGAGACAAGATCAGGGTGTCGAACTAGCGCTTCAAGACAGGGTTTGGGTTTCAAAGTAGGATTTCAAAACGGGATTAGGGTTTTAAACTAGAGTTCTAAAGTAAGGTTTCCAGCCAGTGTTAGGGTGTCAAAGTAGGGTTTCAAACCAGAATTAGAGTTTCAAATTAGAGTGAACTGGGTTTTCAAGCCTGGGTTAGGGCTTCAAGCACCAATTAGCATTTTCAAATATGTTTTTTGGCTAGGTTTACAGTTTCAAGTTAGGATTAGGGTTCAAATTGGGGTTTCAAGACTGGGGTAGGAATTCCAGATAGGATTCAGGTTTATGCTTTGATTCTGCTTACAATCCATAGTTAGGATTTCAAACTAGGGTTACAAGTCATCGGTTTGCGTTCAAGATAGGATTAAAGTTCTAAACTAAAATTTAAAAGTAAGGTTTTTAGCTAAAGTTAGGGTTTCAAGACAGGATCTGTCTGTCTGGACGGCGTTTGGGTTGTTTCAAACATGGTTAGGGTTTCAAGATTGATTTTGGCTTTTTTAAAAGAGCCTTCTGAAAAAAAAAAGAAAAAAGAAGCTTATTTATGAACATGAATTTACAGAAAGAATCTCCGCAGGCAGGGAATGAAACATCTGCAATGGGGCTACAGAGGAAGAATATTGACAGTTGCCATCAATTGAAGGATGAAGGATGTTCCTGAGTCGGTCCTGATGCTGCACTTTTGAATAGAGTAAAAAGAAGAAAAAAAACGTGTTTGCAGGCCAGCGCGTGTTTCTAACAGCAGGTCATCCTGCTCTGTCACAGCCCAGATGTTTCTCACTGGCGCTGCCTTTCCACAGCTCAGCTGTCCCAGTATGCCGAGCTGCCAGCGCACGCCGCCAACTCCGTGTTTCTCACACACACACACACACACACACACACCCTTAGACACACGCACACGCGCGCACATTTACACGCACAATAGGAGCCCTCCCCTTACAAAGTTTTGAGGCGAAAGCTGCAAGTCTGAAGTCTCAGCCAGCGACACGAACACAAGCTGGTCGTCGCTCGTGAATAATACGGCAAGTGCACACAAATGTGACAGTAACTGCCGTCGCTTTCATAAACCGTGAGCAAAAATGTTGCCATTTCACAGTATCGCAATTGCGGCTGTTCAATGTATCGTTTTTGAAATGCTTGAGTGAATCTCGTCAACGTCAAGAGAAAATCTTGGCGACTTCAAGTATGAATATTACTTTTTAATGAACCCTTTTCAGGGACAACGGTTACTACAGTGGACATCTTATCATGTTCTCAGGTTACAGGGGTGCATGAAAGGCTTAATCTGCAAAGTTGTCCTCTTGCTCCGCAGACCCTCCGGACCGTCAGTCTTGTCTCTGTAGCTTTGCCAGAGCAAGGAACCCGGACATTTAGTTATCTGTGTAGCGGCAGGTCACTAACCTATGACCTACAAATGACTTGACTTTTATGAGCGAAAACCTAAACAATCTCTGGTGCCGTATTGTCTGGCAGAAGTCTGCTGATAGGCCGGTTATTCAAAGAATGCTGGCAAGGGTTTGCGCTAGCTGTGAATTTAGGTTGTAAATCTCTAATCTGTACATTTTTACACACTACAGTCGCTTCTTCTCTGCTCTTCTCCGCTCTGTGAGTAACGTCAGATGTCAGAGATTAATTGATGTTAGCCATGCCAATGAGCTAGTTAGCTAGTTATTTGCGTTAGCTTCAAGTGTAGACATGCTAACGCTCGTAATGGCTGTAAACACTCAAGACAGCATTTAATTAGTATATTAATGTTACCGTGAATTTGTCTAAAAAGAAAAAAAAAAAGGATCATCCGCTGCTGAAAACTTGTTGACACATTACACACATTTTGACTTTTTAAATTGATAAACTACAGCGTCGCTAGTTTCTACAGTATATAGGAAAAATATCAAAATTTCAAAAAGTAAAGGTGCAAATGGTTTACAATAAAACCTTCATCTGTGTTACGTGGATTGTTGCAAAAGTCTTACAATCTGACTGTCTTTTGACCCCAAAGGTATCTGTGAGTCAGCATATTTTAGCAGATGCGGGGGGGTGAAGCGCCACTTGGACGTTCTGTTTTGTACATTACCCGTTCATTTTTTACAATAAAGAGATTATTGATGGAGCTTGGCATGTGTCTGTGTCCATGTGTAAGCAGATGCTACAGTAAATCGTCTTTTTACTGTTACGAGTGAGCATTTAGTGGAGACTGAGGATATATGGCTGCTCGTCAGCGAGCGTAGGGCAAAGGTAAATAAGACCTTTGCTTTTGTTGCGTTTCAGGATAGACTTTCATATTGTGCACTGCATTTCAGGACAGACTTACTTGCATCTTTTGTGAGTGACAGTGCTAGCAATGTCATTTTTCGTCAAATATTGCCACACACGCTGCTAGTTAGCCACGCGAACCCAACACCTGGGGTGAGTTCCTTATAAACGTACTTTACACACGCCAATCTCCATCATGTAGACCACGCGTCTCACCTGCAGTACATTTAAAATGACTGAGGGGAGCCGCTTCAATTGGACAGGAGTCAAGTCGGCTGTGTTCACTCCCACAATGGCGCACACTCCTATTTCTCCCTGCGTGTATGAAAATGCACTTTGCATTTGACCTACACAAAATAGGGCCCTTTGGAATAATATGTTTGATCTACCCCCAATATTCTAAACACGGTATTCTGGCTAATATTGCGTTTGTTAAATACGAATTAAGCTGCTAATTCCACCCATTTTCAGCCATCCAAGAAGGCTGACATTTTATGCAGCACCACCCCTTTCGTCGATTGAAATTGACTTCAAAGTGCCCTTGGGGTCGGATTACGAACGTCACAGCTTACCTATTTTGAGTTTGGTCACGTAACGTTCTCAATGAGAACCCGAGGGGCACTTTGACACTCCTGTTACTTGCGTAACTGACTCGCGTGTAATGTTGCCGGCTTGTAACTTACCTTAGGTCTCAATTCACAAAAAGTTAACTTGCATGCAACGTCACTCTTAATACGTCCCTCCCCAATTGTGGTACCTCCACAGATGGACCCGGTGCAGAAGGCCGTCCTCCATCACACGCTGGGCCTCCTGCCCGCTGCCACTGCCGCTGCCCCAAAGAGGAGGCACGTTTCCTGCGGAGTTTGCCGACTGAGGTTCAATTCGCAGGTATACCCGGTAGGGCTCGTAGGCTCAGTAGCAAAACATTTTTTTTTTTTAATGTTGGTTTTACTTGGCAGCCTCAAATCAATTCACAAAATTCGCCTCAAAAGATGCGTGAAGTTAAGAAACAGGAAGTCGGCCATTTTGAAAAAAAAAGACAATGTAGAGACATATTTTCTCTGTATTTTTTTTTACCCCTCATCAGCTCTTTTTATTCTATACATATTTAAGCTTTTCAAGACACACTTTTTCAAGAATTCCTTCGCGCCCGAAATGGAAGACTATCAGATTAAACCACTTGGAGGGAACAAAATAAAATCTCATTTGCACAGTTCTTCAATAAGAGTTGAAACATGCTTGCTGCAAGCTGTTTTATTTTTCATCCTCTGGAAATGTTTGCTCTAAAACTGACATGTAAAATAAAAAGTGCATGACACATTGTGTATCTCAACACCAAATTTGGTTGAATACAACCAAATCATCTGATTTTCTCAAACAAAAGTCTGCTAGCTTAATGCTAACATATACAATGATCCCTCGCAAATTCACCCATTCGTTGACTTATTTGGGTAACAGAGTCTCTGTTGCTGAAAAATGAACTTACTGTTTTTGTGCTCGTCCTAACAAAAAAAAAGGGATTGCTTTGGTGCCATGTTGTGGCATCTTGGTACCAAGAAATTATGTGAATACAAGGGGAGGAGTTTCATTTAGACAGACCATTGATGTGTGTAATATTGTAGAAATAATATTGTGGCATCTCTGGAAACATAAAGCCAAAGACGATTAAACATTAGTTATTTCAACACCAAAATGTTCAACTAAACCAAGGTCAGCTAGCTTAATGCTAACATACAATGTGAAACGCCATAGAGAAGCTAACGGACATTAGCATCGATGTTGCAGTATTTGTAAACCTTAAAAATCTTGCTACTTCAACACACGGTACGTTAATTGGGACTTGTGAAAGCAATTATTTTTAACAACTGCAACCAACTAGCACGGCAATTTTCATGTGTCCGAAAAGGTGGTTAAGTGGGCACGGAAAAATAAATTGTGATCAAGTGGTAGAACGTGGGACTAAATATTCAGCATGGAGTGTTCTTTGTGGCGATCCTGACACAGCACTTTCACTTGCGCGGTTTATACAGCCTGATTTAGAATGTATAGGATCAAGTAGGACTAATGCAATTCAAATGCTTTATTGATCAGCACACACACACACACACACACACACACACACACACACACACACACACACACACACACACACACACACGTGCACTCAAGATGTGTATAAATACCATAAAAATAGATTCTTTGTTTCTTGTTGCGTGTTTGTGAATAAAAGTTTCTTGTTGCCGTGGCAACAGGGGTCGGAAGGCCACAATTATCCCCACGGGTGTTTCGGGCGAAACCTTCTCGCAGAAAATTAGCCATTGTGTGATGACAACTGTGTTTGTTTCCATCGTGTCGCAAAGGGAGCTTGCATGTGGCTGGAGGCAAGCATGGCCCTTGCGTGTCGCCAACATGTCTGATGACCTTCCTGAACTCACAACCTCAATCATGAGTGAAAATGAAAGAAATTGTATTTTGTTGTAATATTCATGATCGATCACGGTTGAATGGATGACTTTACGGACCTGACCACGAATCGTGAAAGTCCGCACATATTTTTGATTTTATTTTATTTTTTACAATGTCTCTCTGTTTATAACAATATCAGAATCTGAATCATCTTCATTGGCCAAGTATGTAGAACACACAAGGAATTTGTTTCCGGTAGGACACAATAACAAGCAACTGCGATAAACAAGGGCATGACAAATAAGTATTGAAAGGCATTCCGTAATGTAAGGGTTTAATTTTATGATTAATAAGTCCAGCAGGAAAAAATATTGTTATTTACGAAAAGGGTAAAATACGGATGCAATCACTTATAACAAGGAAAAATTTAGAATGTTGATCCATTACGGGTTGTTGTATGTTTTTTGGGGGGGGGCGGATGAAAAAGAAACTTCCATCATCTTTCCCCTATGTATGCTCTTTTAATGTTAATTGAATAAAAAAGGGAAAAAAATAAAATAAATTTCTAATGTATCTATTACATTTTTTTTAAATATATATTAAACAGGTTTAAGTAAAAAATGACTACATTAATAATCGTTTTTTAAATTATTATTTTTATTACATTATTTACTGAATTATTTTTAGTTACTAATAGCCATAATGATTCATTGGTGGGTAAATCCAACACTATTTAGCTGTGAAATTTTTGCTTTTATTGTTTGTTTTTTTTTGCCTGTTTGAGTCATGATTTTATGCATATGACATGGTGAATTATTGACGGTGTCTTATTACAGGGTTAAAACCACCCGAATAGCTCTCACAGTTTGTCTTGCGCTTCTTTGGATCCATTGAAAATTTATTAGCAGGATTTTAGAGTTGGGCAAGAAAAATGTTGAAATGTGAACAAAAGTGACAAAAGATTGGCATTGGTTACGAAAAAGCAATCACATAAATCTGCTCTTTCCAAGTGAATAAGACACTCGTTGGACCATAAAAGCAAGACAAATAGTCTGAAAGGAGTCGGTGAATCACCCCGTAAGATGTGTTCAAAGCTGGCAGAGGGAAAATCAAACCTTAGCGCTTTGTGGCCTGGACTAATTAGCGCTAGGCTGCTTCGCTCGCCCCTGCGCTCGACGGCTTTTTCAGGTTTCATGATAACATCACTTACGTGTAACTTTACTGGAATGTATAAAACTTGCGTACAACCTAACTGCATTATTAGCTATTACTAATGTAACTTGCCTGTATCGTAACCCTTAAGATTTCATACCGGTCCCCGGACTCATTCCTGCCTGCTGTTTGTTCTCCTGGCAGAACCAAGCGTTGGCCCATCATTCCTGCCTACTGTTTGTTCTCCTGGCAGAACCAAGCGTTGGCCCACTACAAGGGCACCAAGCACGCCAGGAAGCTAAAAGCCCGGGACACTCCCAAAAGCAAGCTCAAAGGAACGCCGCTCGCCAAGGAGCCCAGAACAGACAGAAAAGGTTGGTGGAAAGCTCCTCCTCTTTTTGTGATTTCACTCGGTAACATTTTAGCTGACGTGGTTCTGCGACGACTGCCTTGTAATCCCAAAATGATGTCAGACAAGAGCGATGACAGGCCACTTTTTATGCCCCCCAAAAGTTTGGCTCTGTGAATGTTGAATATTGAACCAACACAAGCAACACGTAATTTCGCTGGCCTGGAACGTAGCTCGCGTGTCACATGAGTCGCATGTAACCAAACGTATTTGAATGTAACGTAACTGGCGTGCAACCTAAGACGACTATTGCGCAAATCACCTGGTTTGTGACATAATTTTCCATTTGCACGTAAGCAAATACATAACTCACGTCACCAAACTATGAAACCGGTGTGTAACGTAACGGAACTCGTGCATAATTTAGCTCGTACGTTTATTGGCGTGTAACAAAGAATTTTCCCATCATGTAACTTGGGTACAATATAACTTTGACGCAAGGTAACTCTTAATACAAGTCTCACACAACTCTTTACTCATGCGTAATCTTACATACATTGTGTCTAATTGTAACTCTTAATTTACACGTCACATATGATAACATCACTTACGTGTAACTTTACTGGAATGTATAAAACTTGCGTACAACCTAACTGCATTATTAGCTATTACTAATGTAACTTGCCTGTATCGTAACCCTTAAGTGACGTGAAACATAACTTGCTTGCAAATTTAGCTAGCTTGTAATGTAACTTGCGTGTATCTTAACACAACCCACATAGAATTTCGTTGACTTGTACCGTAGCTTTTTCTCGTCGCATAATTGGTGTGTAAGCTAACTCTTAGTTAGCATGTAATCTAACTAGGCCTAGGGTGTGTTGTAACACTTGTAAACACACCTTGTGTGGGACCTAACACAGCTCACATATAATTTAGCTTCTTTGTCTTGTGACTTTGTGAGCTGACATGTTTAGGGAACCTTCTAACTGCGTATTTATGAATTAGCTTAGCTTTTTCAACTTAGCTACTCACATGTAACCAAACGTATTTGAGTGTAATGTAACTGGCGTGCAACCTAAGACGACTGTTGCGCAGCTCAGCTGGCTTGTGACATAATTTGCCATTTGCACGTAAGCTAACATAACTCACGTCAGCAAACTATTAAACTGGTGTGTAACGTAACGGAACTCGTGCATAATTTAGCTCGTCCGTTGATTGGCATGTAACAAAGAATTTTCCCGTCATGTAACTTGGGTACACTATAACTTTGACGCAAGGTAACTCTTAATACAAGTCTCACACAACTCTTTACTCATGCGTAATCTTACATACATTGTGTCTAATTGTAACTCTTAATTTACACGTCACATAGCATAACATCACTTACGTGTAACTTTACTGGAACTTATACAGCTTGCTTACAACCTAACTGCATTATTAGCTCTTACTAATGTAACTTGCCTGTATCGTAACCCTTAAGTGACGTGAAACATAACTTGCGTGTAAATTGAGCTAGCTTGTAATGTAACTTGCGGGTATCTTAACACAACCCACATAGAATTTCGTTTACTTGTACCGTAGCTTTTTCTCGTCGCATAATTAGTGTGTAAGCTAACTCTTAGTTAGCATGTAATCTAACTAGGCCTAGGGTGTGTTGTAACACTTGTAAACACACCTTGTGTGGGACCTAACACAGCTCACATATAATTTCGCTTCTTTGTCTTGTGACTTTGTGAGCTGACATGTTTAGGGAACCTTCTAACTGCGTATTTATGAATTAGCTTAGCTTTTTCAACTTAGCTAATTGTAGGTGAGTCTGTCGGCAGACAAACACTTTCATGATCCAACTTTTGTTTACATTTTTTTTTTCTGGTGCTGGTCCAACAATTTAACAGACCTGACGTCGCTGCCAGGTGGGTGCTTAAATCCAATGATCTCAACCAGATGTCAGAAAAAAAAAACAAGAGCACTGAAAAAGACAATATCATCACCATTCCCGCCGGATAAGCGACTTAAAACTGCGACTCAGAGCATCTGAGAGGAATCAACGAAAGCTAGATTTGTACTCGCTCTAGTTGATCATGGAAGCCGGGTTGTGTTTTGATATGCCTTGCGAGCCAACAGCAGAGTTTAAAATAACCTACAGAGCTATTATTAAGGAAAAGGTTCATGATATGGTTGAATAACGCCGCTATCAGTGTGAATTTGTGTGTGTGACCTATCTGGTGTATAACATAAATTGCATGTCACGTATCTCACTTAATAAACACAAATTGGATGAAATAGCTAACCCAGCACTGGGTCCAAAAGGGATCAAGCCAATGCTGGGTTATTTATGCCAAGCCCATTGTGCTGTGGATTTGACCCCCAGCATGATGGTTCAAGATTTTTATCCAACAGGGGGTAAAAACTATCCATACTGATGAGTTAAAGCTGCCAAGTAAATAGGCAACCAGCTGGTCAGTATAGCTGTGGAAAAAAAATAAAAATAAAAATTAACATTTTCAAAAAAGAAGCAAGTTTCCCCTGTCAGGGGTTGCCACAGCAAATCACTGGTGTGTGCCTGGCACAGTTTTTACACCAGATGCGTGATCCTTGGGTCCAAGGTCAGTGTAACCCACTTAGCCATCCAACTTTTTCTGAGAATGCCACATTAAATATACTTCAACTTCAGAACACAAAACTGTGAAAAAATAAATAAAAATTCGCAACAAGCTTCACCTCTTCAACGCGTCTGAATCCAAACTTCAACCCAATCTGCCGTGTCTAAATAATTGACACAACCTTGGTTAAAATTAACCCAAAGTCAAACGCAACAGCTACCTAGTGAGTGGGTTAAGAAAACCCGTGTCATGTAATGCAATGAAAAAATAACCCAATTTAGGTTAAAAAAAAAATGGACTGATCAACGACTTGGGTCATTTTCTACAAAATCCAGAAAGTTGGGTCCAAGTACCATAACGATCCATTTTTGACCCAAATGGGGTTATTTTCGACCCAACTGTTGTGTGAATCGTAACTCGTCGGTGATGTAACTCACGTGTCACGTCACTTTCATGTTGCATCAGTTGCTGTACAACAACGCACACACACACTCAGACACACACACACACACACACATGCACACACTCTCTTATTGCAATATTGTTAACTTGTCACGTAAAAAGCAGCGCCGAGGGGACCTTCCTGGCCACTGTGGCGCTCATTAATCATCCTGAAAGACACCTGCGCATTCCTGGCCCTGTCTGACTCTGCTTTACCCACAATGCACTGGTGGCACCTGCTAATAAATATTAATACACAAGAAGGAATTGGCCACTGGGCAGATGTCAGTTTGTTTGTATCTGTTTATATGAATATTGTATTTGACGTTGTTTTATTTTATTTTTTATTTATTTGGGAAATATGCAGAAGAACAGCTCATTGACTTAAGTGGGTGTAACCACTGCAGCTATTATACGGGCGGATGTCAGTTTGTTTGTATCTGTTTATATGAATGTTGTATTTGACGTTTTATTTTTTTTATTTATTTGGGAAATATGCAGAAGAACAGCTCATTGACTTAAGTGGGTGTAACCACTGCAGCTATTATATTGATATGATTTTGAAATAATGTGGAATAAAAACACTTCATGCGTGGACATAAGTCTGATCGTTTAATGGAGGAATCATTACGAACGTTTTACTTCCTCCATTAACTTAATGTGAGTGAGGACTAATGGACAGCTGGACTCACTCTGTGTGTGTGTGTGTGTGTGTGTGTGTGTGTGTGTGTGTGTGTGTGTGTGTGTGTGTGTGTGTGTGTGTGTGTGTGTGTGTGTGTGTGTGAGTGTGTGCGTGTGTGTTTCATTTAAGTCTTGAAATGAAATGTAAAGTATTCTGATGTTTCTGAACTTTATTTCAGAACCACCACAGTTGTACAAGAAAGAACCTAAAAAAAAATCTCTTGGGAACATTTCTGTGAAAAAAAATTCAAAAGTGTCCCAAGTAAAGAGAGAAAATATTGCAAATGTTAATCTTTTGACCCCCCAAAAATATATATGTACATTTTTTTAAAGAATTTCTAAATCACAAAATAGTACAAAATTGTTGTAAAAATTGTCAACATAAAACATGAAAGAAATGGCAAAAAAAAAATATGGAAAAAATATATCTTACCAAAAGGCTTGTTTTACAAGCAGTTAAAAAATATTACACCAACCAATTACGAATGGAAGTAATGGAAGTTCTTTATTCTTTCTGTGCAGCCCGGTACCAAATAACCCACGGACCGGTACCGGTCCGCGGCCCGGGGGTAGGGGACCCCTGCTTTCAGACAATGAAAAGTATCTGTCGATGGTATCGACAGACGGCATCATCCATGAGCAATTCCAATACCTTAAAATAAGGCCGGTATCGGTCTGATACTGATTCGTGGTATCGGTACTCGCCCATCCCCACATATGAATCTTCCATGAGGATTTTTTTTTTTCCTCCAAGCCTCTTCTTCTTCCTCCTCTTTCATCCATCCTCATCCTCCATCTTCATCCATCAATCTCTATTTCCTTCCTCCCTTGCGTTCCTCGGCGTTGGCGTGTTTACTCCCCGCCGCCACCTCCTCCTCCCCGTCCTCCTCTTCATGTGAAGCCACTCGGCAGATGATTTTTGGCAGCTTCCCGGTGATCTTGTTGGAGATTTCGCAAAGCGGGCCAGACATTGCAACGCAAATTAGCCGCGGGTCATTCGGCCGCATTCGGGTGAAATTGGAATCAAAAACAAAAGTGTACGACTGTGACAAAAAAAACAAAACGTGAAAACGTCAAAAGATTGAAAGAAGAGTGCTCGGCCGTGTAAGAAGCTTATCGATATTCCGCCAGGGGGTAGCGAAGAGCCGTCGAGGGATTTGGGGCTTTTAAGTTGCGACGGCGTGTAATGAGCGCCGGCCGCTTTAACGGGAAGCTTTTCATCCGGCTTCCTCCACAAAGCTAATCACATCTCAGGGGGACACGTGCCATCGCACCGGAAGCGTGATGGCGGAAGAACACAGGAAGAAAAGAGTTGAGCGTTGCCGCCATCCTCTTCTTTGTCGCCTTGGCCCAATTTTTCTCGACCGTTGCCGCTTGCTCAATTACTCTTCTCAGCACATTTGTTTTCTTGTCATATTACATCTTTTTCCTTAGAATATGAATTGGATATATTTTTTGTTGTATATATATTTTTAGACTTCATAATATTGTTTGTCTTCGTTGAGCTAAAATGGTTGACCTTTTTCTTTTAATCTCCTGCGTTTTTGCTGGTCTTATTTCTTGAGCAGTTTTGATTTTTTTTTTTTATGTTTTTCTTTTCAATCAAAAAAAAAAATTCAATGAATTCTAACATGATGAATGCAATGTTGTTTTTTTTTTGTGAAATGTTGACTGACAGTTTTATTTTAAGTGAGATATTTCAACTTCTGATGACATTTTGATATTTGTATAATTTTCTTCCTTGGAAGATTTCGATTTAAATTCAATTTTTGAATGCTGTTTCTTTCTTCTTAAACTATGCAATTTTTTTCTGGTAATGCTTTTTTTCTGTGATTTTTCTTTGTGAAATAACTTTTTTGTGCTTAACATTAAAATGTTTGTAAATTTTTGACATTTTCTGTACCATTTTTCCTTGGAATATTTTTACTCTATTTTTGGAAAATGTTGAACATTGTCTTGTCTGTCTTTTACTTTTTCCCTTCACCAAATTATTTCTTTTACTAAAAGGTCATTCTTTTAAAATGTCCTCATTTGTCCTGTAGTTTCACCATGATCTTTTTAAACGTCATCATTTTTTTTCGAGTGCAATTTTTTTCCCTTTTGAATATAACTTCATTCCCATTTTTTCGATTTCATTCAAATTTTGAGATTTTCCTCTTGGTATTTATTCGGTTAAGCTTTTGATGTTTCTGGAATCGATATTTTTTCCTCATAATGTTGCCATCTTTGCTCCAATTATGACATTATTCTTTTTAATATTGTGTCCGTCTTTTGGCATTTTGTATTCTTACTCAAACAAGAGGTTGAGTTTTTTCTTTTCTTTTTGTAGATTTTTTGTAATACTACAAAAAAGATTCTCAAGAAGAAAATAGTTTTCTCTCAGGTTCTTTCTTGTTAACCTTTCCCTCAATTCCATCCATTGAATACTGTAGCTGTTTTTTTTTTGGGGGTGGGGGTGAGTGTCCTGTGCACTTATCTGAGCTCTCACCTCGTGACGTCCTCCTCCTCGTCCTCGCTGGGCTTTAGAGCCGTCTCACTTTTCATTTGCCTTATTCCTTTTGCTCCCTTTCCTGTCCGCTGTGTTGAGATGGATGGCGGTCGTTAGCTCCATTAGCGATAGCCCATTGACTTCTCCGTCCGTTGGGTCAAGGGTACCGAATACTACCGGCCAACGTAATCTAAATTACTTTCTGCGGCTTTTCTAAAAGACACCAGCAACATTTTTTGTTTGTTTAATTAGAAAAATATCTCTTGGTAATGTTTTACTGAAAAAAAAAAACACACAGTAATGAAAATGTTAAAAAAGCAAACAGGCTTGCCTCTTTTTTGTGTGTTCCTTGTCCACTGGGGGGCAGCATATTGCAGAGTGAGACACAAAGAAGCATTTTTTTGCATCGTGTTTTAGCATCGATTTTGAGGCAAAATGTTAAAATTGTTGTGGCGGAACATCTTTTTTTAAATTTATTTATTTATTTTGTAATCATTTTGAGAAAAGCGCCAATCATGAAAATTGCAAACATACTCGTATATTGCGAAACATTTTATTGTCTCGCTTGCATTCAAGTGAATACATTTTGGAAACTGGGAATGATAAAACAACACGGAAACATCATGATAAAAATGAACCCTTATTTCCGCCAAGTGTCATCTGATTGATTTTTTTTTTTTTTTAATTGTCAACAATTGTATATTTGTCATACAAGGAGGCTCATGTTTAGTATTATTCTGGCCCGTGTTAGCATACTGCATTCCGTTCCATTTCGTCTGCTTGTTGCAATTCCGGTTGTTTTTTTTTTTTAAACTAGAAAGCCACCTTGTTCGGGTGTGTCATGTTATTTGGACTGAAATGACACTGACTGAATTGCATTGATTTCACTATTGATTTTCTCTTCTTTCGTTCACTCTTGACTTGTTTTTGTTGTTATTCTGGCAAATTGCTTGTGTGGATCCCAAAAATGGGATTGATTAATCATGTTCTTTCTGAGCTGCTGACTGTAAATAAAGTCATGAGGTGACCGTTTGTCTTCCAAATATAAGATTTATTTATTGCTTGATCCCTTTCATGCACCCTGTAACCTGATAACACGATAAGCTGTCCACTGTAGTAACCGCTGTCCCTCAAAGGGTTAAGTCGCACACACAACATGGACACTGTAAAGCAATCAGAGCAGAAACACCCCTTGAAAATTCAGCCCCTGAATTCACTAAGCAACATAACGTCATCAAGTTCAGTAGGAACATCTATGACGAAGAGACCCACAAAAAAAAAAAAAATCTCTTTCAAGTTACCATCCGCCATTTTGGTTTGAAGCGGCCATTGTAACATAGATTTGGACATTTCAAGGGTTCCTCTGAATTATTTGAAAGTTTAGCCTCCAACTTCATTTACATTCACCAACATTAAATTTAGAAGGCATGTTTATCATGAGGAGACCCACAAAAAAGTCTCAAGCAGCAGCGCTTTAAAAGACACAGGAAGTCCGCCATCTTGGTTTGAATAGGCCATTTCATCATCAATTGGGCCATTTCTGAGTTTCTTTTGAATTACTGGAAAATTCAGCCTCGAAATGCTGTTTCAGCCAGCAATGTGAAATTTGGTAGGTATGTCTTTAGGAGTATTTTTAAAAAAAAAAGTCTCAAAACGACATGTCAATTTTGGCCATCTTCAGGGGTCCTTTGAAATGTTGGAAAATGTAGCTCGCCCCTGAAGTCAGTTTCACATCGCAACATGAAATTTGGTACGCATGTCTATCATGAATAGACCGACAAAAATGTCTCAAGAAATCCCGCCCGAAAATACACAAGAAATTTGCAATTTTTGTTTGAAGCAGCCATTTTAGCATGAATATGGCTATTTCTAGAGCTCCTTCGCATTGTTTGAAAACTCAGCCCTCAAAGTCAGGTTCCCCGAGCAACGTGAATTTTGGTAGGCATATATAACAAGAGTGCCCCCCCCCCCCTACACCAAAGTCTCAAGAAGCTATGCGCAAAAAGCCGTTTTGTTTGTAGCCAACATTTCTGGGGGACCTTCAAAGACGCAACTGGCAAGCAAAGTTTTGATGACTTGCCATAATACGCACAAATTTCCATCCATCATCAGCTTTAATGCCGATGATATCTCTCCAGATGCGGTTCCGACCACAGTGCCTCCGCCGCTGTCCTCCACGCTCCGACTGGCAATCCCATCAGAGTCCACAGTGACCCGTGAGACGCCGACCGACGTCGCCGGAACCTTGTCGTCGGTCACCAACGCCCCGGAGGTGACCTCGGAGTTTGAGCTCAACTTGCCATCAGAAACCGAACCGGATCTGGACCCTGACAAAGAACCCGAGAAGGACGCGGAAACGGAGGAGGAGAAAGCTCGGCGCCTGCTCTACTGCTCGCTCTGCAAGGTGGCCGTCAACTCGGCGTCGCAGCTGGAGGCTCACAATAGCGGTAAGAGATTCCAATGGAGGTCATGGGTTCGATTTCAGCTCCAGCCGTCCTTGGGTGGAGTTTGCGTGTTCTGCTTGGAAATGTGCGCTGTAGCGAGGGAACGCCGTACGGTATCGTGACGTGACATGATTGCATTTTTCTGTTTGCCGATGAAAAGGTACGAAGCACAAGACCATGCTGGAGGCCCGCAGCGGCGTGGGCTCCATCAAGTCGTTCCCGCGGCCGGGAATCAAAGGCAAAGTGGCGCCGCCGTCCTCGTCCAAGGCTTCCACGGGCCTGCAGAACAAAACTTTTTACTGTGAGACGTGCGACGTGCACGTCAACTCCGAGACGCAGCTGAAGCAGGTGATTGATTCAGCTCTGCTATTTTTCATGTACTTAATATTTTGTCATGATTCTTGTTTTACTAAATCGTATTGGTGAATAATTTTGTCAAGTTTGATGTATAAATCTACAGTACAGTGTGTAAATGATCATGATTTTTTGTTGTTGTTTTTTTTTTTTTTTTTTTATGTAGGTGTCCATTTCAGATTGACTGCAAGAGTATTTAATGTTGTAAGTGGAGCTGATGTTTGGCGGTTGTCATAATGCGGCGGCTCTGGCTCGTCAGTTGCCATGGCAACGCTCCACTTGCATCATTATCAGACAGCTTGTCAAAAGAAAAAAAGAATCAGCGCGATACGGAATCTTTGTCCGTCTTTGGAAATATCAATGTCGTGTTGGTCACGTTACCGTGGCAACAGTGGCGCACAAATACAAACGGTGAACGACGTCGACGACCTTCCGTCTTGAGAGGCCGGCATGACTTCCATTCATCCATTTTCTAATCCGTTTGTCCTCACAAGGGTCACGGGGCGTGCTTGGAGCAGTCGGGGTACACCCCGAACTGGTCGCCAACTAATCGCAGAATACATTTTTTTAAAAAATCCAACAAAAATATTGCTACAGTTGATGCTTCTCCCTCACAGCAATGGAACACGGCCCTTCCCTTTGCATTGCCGTATCAGCAGATGCATGACACACTCCATGTGGAAACCAGCTGTCTACTTTAGACCACCCAAAACAAAACTACGCTAGTGCCTTTTTCCTCATATTATAAAACAACAACAACAACAACAAAAAGACAAAACCCGTGTTACTAATTTCAGGGTGTTAGGGCGGCCATTTGAAGTGGCCAAAATCATGTCAAATGGGTGTTCCCCAATGGAAGTTACGTCACTGGATGCAAAATGTAATTTTGCATGCCGCTTCAGGCTTTTTTGGGGGGCATATGAATCTTGTAAGATGTGGCTTTTGTCGGAGTTCACGCTGAAATATTCCACCCAGATGTTACTCACCCATTTTTCACGTCAAACAAAGAAGAACAAGCAGCAGCAGTTAATGCAAGACCAATCAAACCACGCATGGCCTGATTTTAAAAAGCAAAACCGGTGGCTCATGGAAACAGATGTGGAGGGTGATCTGGCTACTGGCCAAATGCCACACAGTTCATTTTTACACTTTGTGGATATACATCAATGAATTTAGCATGTGCGTGTGATTTATCAAAACCGAGATGAACTGCACGAGCCAGTTTTGTGTTTTCAAATAGCGCTTCTGCACGATTAACGTTAACAGTCGACGCCACAAACAAGAATTATTGCAACGTCATCTATTCAGCAATGCGGTTTTAGAGCTTCTGAATGATCTGTGTATCCGACCAAGATAAAGAATTTTAAAACTTTTTCTACCATGACCTTTTTCTAACTAGAACCTGTCCAACTCAATTGAAAAATCCAAGTGGGGAGAAGATTTATTTGAGATAATGTCCTTCACTGGCGATGTGCCTGTCTTGAAAATAAACGAATCACATTCAAACTCATGTTAAATGCCATCATTTAAAATGTCCCTGATTAACCCCAAATAAAGTTCAGCTGTTCTAGTCGTCTTTTTCTGACATTTTTTGCTTCCGAGCAAAAGCGTGATGGCTCTGTGTTGACACTGTCAGCTTTTTCAAACTGGTTATAGTTCCTGCCACCTTAACAAAGACCTAACTCTTATTATCTCAACTCACAGGTAAGTGCTTCTTTTCCGAGACAAGCCAAATAAAGTTCAGGTGTTCTAGTAGGCTTTCAGTGACAGTTTTTTTGATGTCTCACAGAAGCCTGAAGAGTTTGTACTACCACTGATGGCTATTTGGAACTGTTCACAATTCCCTCCACCTTGACTAAGACCATTTTCTCAGTGCACAGGTTAAAGGTTCTTTTCGGATTAACCCCAAATACTGTTTTAGTAGTTTCTTGATTTTTGTGTTTTGTTTTGTTTTGTACAAACACTGACTGCTATTTGTTCATTTTTTTTTATGGTTTATATATGCTCACCAGGTGGCTTGTAATATATTTAGTGAGCAAGCCAGTAAACGTCCTGTACCGCACTCGGGACTGTGCCTTTGCTCTGTACAATCTCTTCTCAACTCTTGGGTGTTTCACAAAGTTTGTTTCATTAATCCAGAAATATTTCTTGTTTTTTCCCCATCCTGTCCTCAGCACATCAGCAGTCGTCGTCATAAAGACAGAGCGGCAGGCAAACCGGCCAAACCCAAATACACCCCTTACAGCAAAGGAGCCACCAAGCAAACCGTAAGCTAGCAACACACGTTTAGCGCTCCCGGCAACACTCTTGGTTGGATTTCCATAAGAACGTAGTTGACATTGACCTGAATAATTAGCATCTGCTTTTATCTCCGTAGCACTAAACAGGGCTTATACAAGGTACTTGTGTATCCAAGCGCTTCTGTCGTCGGATTTTAGCGTATATTTGACAATTGTGTTAAATGTTATACAAGGAGAATGCTCTGACGTTTATCAAAGCAAAGAGGTGGTAATGAGATAGATAGCATGTATGATAGCATTATGTTTGATGTGGCAAGTATTGTAAGACTAAATTATAAGACTAAAGTGTGAAGATGAAGGATAAAAGGGGGAAGAACAAGAGGAGCTAAAGCTCCGGAGGGCTGGTTGTTACCAGTTGTGAGGAAAATGTCTCTCACCCCCCTCTCTCAACCCATCATTGAGCGAGTTAACGGAGGGGAGCAGGGACTTCTGAGACTTCCTTGTTCGGCCCCCTCCTCGTCCTCCAACAGTGATTGATAAGCCGTGACATGGCGCCGCCGCCGGAGCGCCGCGTTTCCATTATGGATACAGAAGATTAGGCCGGATAACTTTGGTCACCTTTTCACACTATTAGCTTCACTGTGTGTGTGTGGGTGTGTGAGGCTGAGGCTGAGGCTGGATCCGCAAACGCAAACTCACACCAACTCCAGCTACTATCTTTTGAATTTTGTCTCGCTTGATTTAACTTTAATGTCTTCGCCGAAACATTGTGCCATTGTTGCAGAATCCATTTACCTCTTCTGTGTATCATTGATACTGATGGACCACGTTGCCTTCACTCTCATTGATCGAACTGCCTGGGCCTCAGAGGCCAACACTTGGCATTTATGTTTGACAAAAACACGTGAAACAAAAGATTTTCGGTTCACCCAAAACATGTGCAGTCGAACCTCGTTACGACGTAACTCGAGGGACATAATGAATCTGTACGATATAACGGGAGCTCGTTGTAACCATTTCCAATAAAATGGCCGCCAACAACGGTATAGGAACATTTATAGATGAACTGGATGCACTGCATCCTGAACTGGAGAAGCCGTTTACGATCATCTTTCAATCTGTTAGACCCGAACTCAATGATTGTCAAATTCATCGACCTTGTGTGTGTGTGTCCACTAAATTTGTCTCTGTCAGCAGATCAAGCTGAGTTTGGGCAAAGAGCGTCCGTGCCCTCCCCTGGCCGCCCTTCTTCCCACACAGCTCATGGCTGCCGCGGCTGCCGCACTCGGTAGCACGTTCCCGCAGCGCCCGACCCATGGCCCCGCCTCCAACCCTGCCCTCTTCCCGACTCCGCCCCTCACCACGCCCCTGCTCCGCCCCACCGCTGGCCCTATAAGGACCGCCCACCCGCAAGTCCTCTTTGCGCCATACTGACCCCAGATTGGGCAGCGGCAACGGATTTCATGCGGGACCAGTCTATGCATCCAGGATTCAAGATTAAGCGCTGTCAGTCAACCTGGACAGCTACATGAGGGCAATAATGTAACACTCTCTCACACACACACACACACACACACACACACACACACACACACGTACATACATGAACTATGCAGTGTCATTACGTCATGAGTGTCACTAGGTGGGACTCACGTTCCTGTTTGCACTTTAACTTTTGTTGATGTGCATGTTTGACTGTGTTCAGTGGTTGACTAGGTATCGTTTTTTTTTTTTTGTTGTTTTGGGGGGGTGGTTGTGGATTAGTCCTTGTCAAAAAAACGTGTGGTATTTGGTTTTGATGTGAAATTTCCAGATGAACCTAAAATGACCTTGAAAGGTGAACTTAATTTGACCTCCTGTAAAAATGTTGAATTCCCATCCATTCATTGTTTCAATGCTTTTTGCACAACTTGCTGTTCAACCGCTGAAGAGCAAAGTTCACAGCAGGTGTTCGATCCATGAAAAATTTCTTTTGAAGTTGAAAGATTCTTCACTATACACCATTTTCAAACTGGTCCAAGGCTGGTTTCTAAACTGTGACACGACAAATCTTGCAAGTCATCCTGAAATTTCACACCAAAATCCCATATCAAAAGGTTCCTGTGTGTGTGTGTGTGTGTGTGTGTGTGTGTGTGTGTGTGTGTGTGTGTGTGTGTGTGTGTGTGTGTGTGTGTGTGTGTGTGTGTGTGTGTGTGTGCGTGCGTGTGTGTGTTGTCTGGATCACCGGTACCTCTGTGTGTTATATGTCCAATGTGTTCAAAGTGTTCATTTGAAATAAAACAAGAGTCCTACTTTGTTAAATGTGGTTCTGATTTGCAGATTCAAGTCACGGAAAAGTTGATTAGGTCCACCAAGTTCATTAATTATGCCATAAAAAAAAAAATGGAAGAAAGTTAAGTTACACTCAAGGAAAAAAGTTGGAGAAGAATCAAAAAATAGCTTGGAAGGAGCCGTTAAATACCTTATAATGACTTTTGAACTCAATGACTTTGACCATCGTCTGTTTTATAATCATTTCAAAAAAATTTAAGGAATTTTCCATAAAAACAAAACACATGTAACCCTTTCAGGGACAGCGGTTACTACAGTGGACATCTTATCATGTTATCAGGTTACAGGTTGTCATTATTGGTGCATGAAAGGGTTAATAATCCCATTAAAAATTGGAAAAGACTGCTGCGGAAGAGCACTTTATTGTCTTAAAATGACTGACGTTTGGAACTCTGTGATTTTGACCATTTTGCATTGCATAATCCCTCAACATTTTGCAGGTCTACTCCCGTCAAAAGGCACATGAATAATCCCCTAAAGTTAGGAATTTGGAAGCAAGTGAATTGAACATTTCTGCGAAGGAGCAACTTAATCCCTCGAAATTACTTTCGAACAAAGCAATTGTGATGGCTTTCGGTTGCTTGCATGAACATTTTATAACTGAGCCTTCAGATTTGGATGCCGAGAGCCCAAAATAGCTCAAGAGTCAAAAGTTGAACGAACAAACACACAAAGTGCATGTACACACACACACACACACACACACACACACACACACACACACACACACACACACACACACACACACACACACACACAGCAGCAGCAGCAGCATCTGCCCACGCGTGAATGAACACAAGGATTTGGGAGGAGTTGTCGCCCCCTCTTGGTTGTGTTTATCTTCACGTGCCTTCAGTATAAGCAAAATAGTCCATGCTGTGGATTTTGCGTGGACCTAACCCACATAATTCGATCACACATCTAAGATCACTTTCTTGAAATCTCTGAAAATCAAATCAATCACTCGTAAACGGCAGAGCAAGAATCCTGTCAAACAATTTTCGATTCACCATTTTTTTTTTGTCCTATCTGCATTGTTGAATTTGAGGGCCAGCCAACACGATTAACAAGCTAGCCGAGCTTTAAGTCCAAGAATGTTGAGGATTTTACTTTCAATTCAACAGAGGTGGCAAATCCGGGTCTATAAAATAGAAACCCTGACAGGGTTCGGCTTTCGCCTCAGGTGCTTCTACTCAGATAATCGAGTTCCCCCTGGAGTAGAAGCACCTGTGGCTAAACCAACACTGCGCCAGTGTTTTCACTCTCTGGATTTGGATTTGCCACTCCTGCAATCCAAGATGCTCGAGATAGACCCGGTCTGTGCTACTCCAGGTACAATTTTCAATTCACCATTGTGGTCCTTTCCGTAGTACTGGAAGAAACGTGTTGATTTTTAGGGCTAGCTGGCAAAACATACCCTAGCTAGCTGAGGTTGAAGTCCAAATATCCTCATGATTTTACTGTTAAACTAAACATAAAACTAGTAGAATGACATGTTTTGTATTTAAAACAAACACATAATCTGTTATTTTAATACTCACAGATGAATAGAAAACTCATATGTCACCCTCCAAGCAAATGATATTTTGATACATTGGTACCGCTACTTACGAAATGAATATGTTCTGGAAGAAATTTCTTAACTAGAAAATTTTGGAAGGAGAGACGCATTTTGGGGGGAAAGCTGGAAAGCATTAATAGCATTTTCATGCGAGTGTTTAGAGGTCACGAAATGAATTACACTTTTATCTGAGGGCATACCGAATTTGAGGTCGACGTTAGATAGGTAGACTTAACTAGCCTATCAGTGTAAAAGGCATTAGCAGCGTCTATTGATGAAAAAGTAGGGCGACTGATAACCACAAGAGAAAGGAAACATCTGGAAGGTTCTCCAGCACGGACGTCATCACCATAATCGCACTGTTGTTTTCTTTAGCTGCGCACTCTCCAAAAGCAGTAACGCAAAGCGACGTCAAGAACATTTTTGTGTCGTTTTCATACGTCCAATGAGAGCAGATGCTCTCTGTCTGCTAAATGTTCTTTGAGGTGGGCACAAAAAGCGGTCAGGCTTGATTCTGTGAAGCGGTGTATGCTAGCATCTGGGCTTTTAAAGCGAATCAAATTAATTTGAGAGTCATGAATGTGGACAGCACAGCCGGGTGCACTTATCATAGCTTGCCACTTTTCATTTATTAATCTCGCTTGATGTTTACTAAGACATCCATTCTTGTTCGGTAACTCTCTTAGCTCTGGGATTTGTGACCACCCTCTCGTTCTTTTTCTTTTTCAACCTTCTGAGCTGTGTTCATGCAAATCGCTGCCGTCAGGCCAAATCCTTTTTCCTCCAAAATCATCACCCCCCAAAAATGTCATATTTGTTCAAACATTAACATTACATATCAGTCAATCATATCATTGTAGCATCAGAGCCGTAGTGGCAGCAGGAGAACAATTTACAACGGAAAGCCATGATAAAATAAGCATTTAGCAGTCAATATTCTGTCCAAGTGAATTCACATCTCGCTTTGATGAAAGAGATTGAATGAGATTCAGGTGCAAGAGCTGGACAGATCCCTATCATGCACCTGGAGTGTTTTTTCACTACTATTGCAACGGCAGATGGGGAGAACTAACTGTAGTATAGTGAGCCTTTGCACTCGCTGTGAGCCGGCGTACGGGATGAAAAAGCGGCACTAACATGCTCGCTCGCTGTCTCCCTGCCGCTGAAGCGCGACCGCTGAAGTGAGCCGGAGGAGCCGAACGCTGGCACACCGCTTAGGTTTTTCTTTTGCTAGCCTATAGAATACTCACCCCACCCCCTCTTTTGACACCCCGGTGCACAACAACTGTCTACCGTTATCGGTGTGGCATTTCCTCATATTAGTGATAAGTTTTCGACCCTGCCAAAATAGCATTGTGGGTGCACGTGACTCAACTCGCGCCACAATAACCAGCAGTTTGGCAAATATTCAACAGCTAATCAAAAAAGAGGCTTAAAGCTCTTTATTGGCACTCCCGGTTGAAGTTTACGATCAAAATAAACATTAAAAAATATAATTACATCTTGTGTTTTAAAAAAAAAAAGGCTTAGATTTCCTGTTCGCTAGCTTAATGCTAACACAAAAGAGCATCTAAAGTCTGTGGTACAGTATTGCTAAAACCATTTTTACCCAATTTTTTTTTTTAATGTCGTCATAAAAATCTTACTTGTGAAGCAGTCACATACACAAAAGTGAGAAGAGAAGTCAAACAAAGTTGGTCTTAAATAAAATAAAATAAATACAACAATCTTAACTTGGATGACACACTTCTTTCACATTTGTACCTGCCCTGTGAAATAATACAGCAATTGGAGACTTTGGGGGGGGGGGGGACTTGAACCTTTCCGTGGCATTCAACAACACGAAATGTAGAGTAAGTGTCAATCAAAAGTGAACAATGTCATCATTATAACCGTCGCTACAGCTCTTGTACTGGCTCTCATTCGCTTCTGCGGGTCACCTCCACTTAATCACGCCTCCCCGATGATTGACGGCTCCAACCATGATGGAATTATTCATTAGCGGCTCAGACAGGTGAGACGAACCATTTGACTTTGACGCTGCTGAACCCTGTGCTCTTTGTCCCAAGATGGAGAACAAGGGAACATAGTACAGTACTGTGGAAAATTTGCCGCTGGCTTTGTTATTAACAGGACAAAACAACAAAAACAATTTCCACAAAGGACTAAATAAAATGAGGAACATACTAATTTTAGCAAAATTAGATTTCCTATCAATTAAAAGAAGTCATAGCTGGCCTAAGTACAGTGAAGAGTTGCCCCACACCCCCTACATAATAATTTAAGTGCCTTTGTTCGCATCAGCAGTTATCTGGCGCAATTGCAATGCGCACTTAGCGAGCGAGCTAGCTATGCCTGTGCCCCACAAACTATCTTCCCTTCAGATATTCCATTGATGTGGCTGCTTTAGAGTGCCTCATTGTTGGACGTGAGACGGCGCACAGAAGGAGAAAAGCAAAGAATGAGTGAGGTTAAAAAAAAAAAAAAAGAACCGATAAGATGGCCAGCACTGCCATGGGCAATTCAGAGCACCTCGTCACAGCCTAGAAATATTCCAGCCACCAACAATTTTTTTATTTTTTTTTTGTAGTTCAAATAGGTCGTTATGTGCAGGCATAAAAAGATGCTTGGAGAAACATTTTCCGGATCGTAGCAGTGGTATTTCATTGAGAGTTAAATTGGGGCATTATTTCAATGCCTTCGGCGGACAGACCCAGAACATTTTGAAATTGGCTTGATTTTTTTGGGGTTGTTTTTTGTTTTAAAGCCTCATTTTATATACTTGACCATATTTTTAGTGGTTTAAATCGTTCTCTGTGATGATTTAGAAGACGCCTATTTTCTCTTTATACACTTCAGGGAAAAAAATGTTTGAGGCAAGTGTGATGCTCCTACATCAAAAATGTCTGACAAGAAGAAATAGAGGTAGACATAGAACAAGCAGAGTTTGCCTTGATTTAAGATATTTTACCTTTCCAGGCAGTTTTTTTTTTTTTGCAATTTACACAGCCATGTATGTTTGTTAATTTGTTTATTTACCATCCAAGCCCGTCTGCTCATTTCCCCATCGTTTTTTTTCAAGGATTTTATTATATACAGATGCACCGATGAGTAGGACTTATGAGCCCAAATGACCTTTATGAAATTCTGCTATCTTAAGGCTAACACACGATGCAAAACACTGTAGACAGGCTCAGAAAAATAAAAAAGCTGCAGTTTTTATAAACCTTTAAACACCTTCATGTGGAAGCGACAAATACATGCCATAATTTTATTAGGTGCCTGGTAACTTTTTAATGGTGAAAAAAATAAAAAGCACGTCTTAAAAGTTTAGCCTCCTGCCACCCTTCAGGGAGCAGCAGAGACATGCTGAAAATAAGCATGCTGTCACCATGGTTACGGCAAGAGATCAAACCCTGTTATTTATATATATATATATATATATATATATATATATATATATTGGAGGGTCATAACATGCCAAATAGAAGCCGACAAGCCTTGATAACATTTCTTAGAACTGCTATTTGTACATTTGAATGATTTAAAATGACATTTCAACCCTGTGTTTTGAAGCATGAAGAGGACGTTGTGACGATGCACTACTGCCCCCGCGTGGCGATGCCAAGGAACTGCTGCAGCGGGACGTGAAAATGAAGGTACAGGGGCGGGGGGGTCTCTTCGGTTTGTGGTGGCAAAAACCGTAACCTTCTCAAACGTACACCATGGCGATGTCTCTGCCAGTGTAGTTGTTCCATTCAAACAGTGCGGCGTTTTTTTTTTGTGTGTGTGTCACTTAATGATGATGTAGAATATGAATCCCATGTTTTATAGTCATGGGCTGCAAGTATTTTTCATACAAATGTTTGTTGGCTGTGACGACGATTTGGTTCAAGCACAACCATTGATCCAGCAAGAGATCAGAGGACGTACAAGAGATTCAATCTTTATTGAATTTATTAAGTTGTATTCAGACACTCAAAAACCGATCAGGCCCGTCGCGTGGTTAAAACCCATCGAGCCGTTAGCGGGTCACAAGCACTCGCTCGTATAAAATGAAGACATGATGATCAACACTGTGCAATGCGATTAAAAGTTCCTTTCCAAACGTGACACCAGAGAGTTGATTTTTTTTTTTTGTCGTTGTTTTTGTTAATAACACTACACAGAGCTAATTAGATTAAAAAAAAAAAAAAAAACACCATAGCTTTACCAGTTGGAGACAAGAAGAGAATGAATAAAAAAATAAAATAAAAAGCAAAACCAACTGTACATTTGTTCAAAATCTCTTTCGTCGCGTGGTCATTTTCTACACGTGCGGTGTTGACTCAGAGGAAGGTGGAAATGATCCATGAATCCTCCAGGAAGCAAAAAAGAAAAAAAAACAAAAAAGGGGGAAAAAAATGAAAAAAATTCTCTCCTGTTGGAACTGGGGAAAAAGGCGGGGGCATGTCAGGATGAGAGCCATTTTGTGGGCAAGGAGCGTTTGTGTTGGTGAGTTAGTTTACTTCAGGCGTTGTAGTGATAACATGCATCCATTATACTGATGTACACTTGTTTAAAAAAAAAAGTGTTTAAAAAGAAAGAGGAGGAACAAAAAAAGATTTTAGAAATGCAGCTATACAAAGTCTTTCGCTATTTTGGACTGGGGTGGTGAGGAACAAAGTGTGTGTGTGTGTGTGTGTGTGTGTGTGTGTGTGTGTGTGTGTGTGTTAACCAAGACCACGGCGGCCCTCCTAGTTACTGCAACAGGTGCGGCTGCTGGGTTGGGCGGACTCGGTCAGGTCTACTCCCCGGTTTCGCCCGCCGCTGGCGCTAGCTGCCTGGGGCTCGTTTTTGGGGAGCTTCTTGGCTACAACGATATCACCACAAAGCGTCTTCAACAAGCAGCTTTTCCCGGGAGCCGATTGCTACATTTGACGGCTTTTGCGCGTCATCAACTCTCAAGGTTGTCTCACACGTTGATACGTTTTCACGTGATGTAATATACTCGTATTAATAAATGCAATTCGCATAAAAAATAGATGCTGCCGCACATCTTCATTTGAGCTGTTGTCACCATTTCTGAAATGGCGTTATACAGTACGTGAAATACAAGTTTCTGGAGGTGATGCTCACCGATGGCCATGAAGATCTCGTTGACGTTCATGGAGGTCTTTGCTGACGTCTCCATGAAGAGCAGGCTGTTGTCGTCGGCGTACGATTGTGCGTCCTGAACACAACATAGGGTCCGTGATATCCGCTTCATTATCGCGCGCTTGGGCACATTCCTAAAGCGCCGCATTCAAGAACTATTTTCCAAACGCAAACGACTCAGCCAGTACGATGTTAAAACTCTCAGCGGCATTCGGGAACACTCAACAAAAAGCTGAGCAAACGGGTATGGTGTATTTTGACGCACCTGGAAGTCGAGTGCTCGCTTGCTGGCCAGGTCGGCTTTGTTGCCGGCGAGCGCGATAACGATGTTGGGACTGGCTTGCCTCTGGAGCTCCTTCACCCAATTCTTTGCTCGCACGAACGACTCCTGCGCGGGAAGCATCAGCAGCAATAATCATACTTGCGATGCTGAGCTAGTGAGCCTGAAAACTTTTTTAATGGGACACATGAGCCAGGTGTTTGTCTGTACTGTATATGCCCTGCTACTAGCTAGCAACCATTTCAGGTTGTACCACATTTCACCAGCCAGAAAAATAAATAAATAAACGGTGACACTCAATCTCACTTGTGAATCAAAACTATCCATACAGGTGATCATGAGTGTGAAAGTTGTAACCCACTACAACTGGCCAAACGTCAGTTTAAGACAGGCTCCATTTTACCCGTGACCCTAATAAAAAGGCCCAACGCGATAGAAAATGGAGGGATGTACCTCATTGGTGATATCATAGACCACGATGGCGGCCTGGGCACCTCTGTAGTACATGGGCGCCAGACTGTGGTAGCGTTCCTGACCGGCCGTGTCCCAGATTTCAAACTTGACCGTCGTGTCGTCCAAGCAGACTGTCTGAGTCAGGAAAGCGGCTGTGGGGAGCGCAATATGGGACGGGGGGTGTTAGTGTCAGCCATCTTAGGTTTATGACAATCATGCAGTAAAGAACGCAAAAAACAAAATAAGCCAAGTTGTCGACCTGCCCCTCCCAAATGTTTGGACTTGCCAATAATGGATTCAGAGTTCATAACCTTTCAAACCAGAACAAATTACTGGGTTACAGATGATTTATTTCTATTTTGTATTAAGTAAGGGTTAAATGCACAGAAGTGCACATGCAGCAAAGATGCTCTGTCATTTTTAGTAAGAACCCAGGCAAAACTTAGCTCCTCCCTGAAATTCAAATATCTTTGTTTCTCAATCAAGATGTAGCACTTCAACCATAATTCACGCACAGAAATGACGACTTCCTGTTTAGACAGCGCTCTGGGCAGCAAACTATTTTCTTGTCTTCAACCATATCCAGTGAAGCAATTTCAAACACAAAAGGCAATTATCAGTTCAAACTCAGCATTTGTTCTAAGTATAAAGAACGTAAGGCATTCATTAAAAAAAAAAAAAAGGTATCAACAGCATTTATTGTGTTCATAACTGCGCTTTAACCAAGCAAAAATATAAGTGAACACTCAAGAAATATTCAATAAAATGTTTGCTGCATACTCAAAAACTAAGATATTTGATAACGGCAGCCCGATTACAAAATTCTAAATGGCGGTACAGTGGGAGATTAGTTAGCATGTCCGCCTCACAGTACAGAGGTGCAGGGTTCGAATCCGGGCTCCGGCCTTCCTGTATGGGGTTTGCATGTTCTCCCCGTGCATGTGTGGCTTTTCTCCGGGTACGCTGGTTTCCTCTCACATTCCAAAACCTGCACGGTGCTGAACTCTCTACTAGGGTGGGGTGGAATTTCGGGAAAATAGGTTCATTTTCCTGAATAGCTGGTGTATTTATGGGCCGGTCCATCCCACAGTCGATGATTATTTTTGGGCACATTATTGCCGCACCATGTCAGCGACGACGTTTGGGCGCATGACGGCCTTTCGACAACAATTTGTCAACGCATAACGGCCACGGTTTAAGATTCATTCCCTCCCACCACCTTCATTAAAAACAAAATAGTTGCTTGCGTGCAAGCATGATTGTGTATAACCTCTGCCTTGACTCTTCCATCTAAATCAAACTCCTGCCACCCATTTGCTATCCCTGGTAAAGCTTTCAAGAACCGACACTGGTGCCAAGTAATAACAAACGCCCTGCAATTTTGGCAACATCCGGAGCACGATAAGTTTGCTATTATAGCAACTCGATCCAATGCAAAATGGCAGACAGCATTGCAAAATAGAGCCACCTACCCTTTTATGGAACTTAAATGTATCCCTCAATTGTATTTCCTCATTTTTCTGGCGGTTTAAGCCAACAAGTTTGTTCTGTCTGTTAATTTTCCAACTGGTGTGAATGGGGCAGGAAGTTTACCATACATTTTTTTTTTTTGCCGATAACAGGTGGGACAAGAAAAAAAAACCAAACCTCCAATGGTGCTTTCCTGAAATTCATGGAACTGTCCCTTGACGAAGCGGAGCACCAGACTTGACTTCCCCACCGCCGACTCCCCCAGCAGCACGAGCTTGAACTGGCAGATTTTGTTGCCGGCGTTGGGCCCATTGGGTCGGGTAGCTCCGCCTCTACTTGCCATGTCGCTTTTTCCGGACACTTCCTGTTGTGGATGCTGCAGAAACACACGGGCAAATGTCACCTCAACAACTGAAAGTTGAAAGCACCTGCACGATGCAAGTGAAGGCACAAGTGACAAAATTCTCTGTAGTTGTCCTCAAGGGGCTGCTTAACTGTGAAACTGCATAAATGTTTAATGGTAAAGTGGTCCAATGCCAAAATTCCATGTTTGGTATGTACCCCGAGGTTCAGTTCACGTTGTGTCCAGTGGAGGAAGATAATGCAAAACAAAAAATCACTTTTCTTTTGTGTAAACGGGAACAGATTATAAAACATTGAATATGTTCAACCTTTTCTTTTTAAGAAAGCGCAACATCAATGGTTTGTCTTCTTTTTAGGAAATGAAGGATTTCACAAGTGCAACAGTAAGTTATATTTTCAAAACTAGTTTTGAACAGAAGTTGAGTTGCATACATAAAATGAACTGGAAGGCTGCATTTAGCCCGTGGACCTTGAGATCTAAAGGTAGCCAATACAAGAGCTATAATTTTTTGATTGATGCTGTCAGATTTAATCACAGTAATTATTGTGCACCATCACACAATACTTAACGCACAGCAACACCCAAACATCTCACATGTGTTGTGTATGTTTTCGTTTCGGTTTTCCCAACATATGATGTAGCACTGCAGATGTGGCAAGCTTGCTGATAACGCTCACCAGCAGACGGCCAAAGGACTTCAGCTCAGTGAGCAAGGTACATGCAACATTGTTATGACTGCTCAGTACACATGGGCTAAAGCAGCTATAGTCTTCCCACTGTGAAGAGTCTCACCTCCCACCTCAAGAGACTTGAATGATAACGACAGTTCACATCGACTGAGTCATCGGAATGGTTTGGCATTCCCAATGTCACACGACAAACAAACACTGGTTGCTTTGACAAACTCAAGTAGTTGCGGCAACTATGACAATGTCCATGGTACGACCTGACCTCAATATTCTCATTTAGATACTGACATCGTCGTCATTTTAGGTCACAGGTGTGGAGCAATGGTCATAAAACAGATTTCTGGGAAATAATGTGGGAATATTTAGGACAGAGGCAGTTTCCTTGGCAGTTTTTCCAAACTAACATATTACATTACCAGACAAACGGGCCACGTGATTCATTTAGCACATTTGACTGCGACTGCAGTAGTCTGCGTGTAACGCGTTACGAGAGCAAGTTGAATCAAGCAACTCGTTCGGTTGTTGTTGATTAGCGTGAACTAGCACAATACTAGCTAACGTTAGCCGAGCGGCTACCTTTTAAGTTCGCAACGCCGTACCGAGAGGCGATTCTTAGCTGGTGACAATGTCAACTTGACGGCGCGTGGTGTCACGGAGCGTGTGTGTACATTTGCGCGTTAAAGTGTCGCTTTGGCAAACAATGACGGTATGTGCGCTCGATTTGGGTGTGTACGGCTAATGACAGCTACCATGTTAGCCGTCAATGGCAAACAGCTGGCTAGCGTCACAATCCGTTCGCTGTCTTATGGGTCAATCAAATGTGGTCAAAATGCTTCACACGCGTCCATGTTTATCATCACAACACAAGTAGCGAAATCCAACCGGTCGGACCGGCCTGAGTCACCACGTTAGCGGTTTAGCTGGCTCGATCCCACTCCAGCGTCGTCGTCAAAGGCAGGCTAAGGCTAGCAAGCTAGCCCGCAAAGGAGGCGCTGCGCTCGGGGTTGGACGTGTGTTTAGCCGCGGCCGTGTCGGGTGGAGTCCCCCCCCGGTTAGCCGTCAGCTCGCTGCCTCGTTATGGGCTCCTTTACTCACCCAGCCAAGAGACGACGCCGCTGTCTAATGCTGCTGACAGAGTCCCCCCCCAAAAAAACAAAACTACGCACTTTGATGTCTGGCGGGATTAGTGAAACATTAGATTATTTTTTGAATTGATTTTTTGCTCCAGCAGGCTCCGCCACTTGTCTCAACTTCCCTGTAGGCTTTGTACGAGCGATGATGACAGATCGTATGACTGCGACTGGCAATCCTCCTACGTCTCGCCGAGCCCCACCAATCAAACGCGCGACTTCATTCTTATCATTTGGGGATATTTTATATTATGCGCCTAAAATCCTCGCTTGATAAAACACCAACAAGGCTGAGAAATGAACACAAAATGGCGATGTCTATATTCAATATAAATCTAACTCGTTCGTCCACACGACATTCATTTTTTTTCGAATCTTTTTTTTCTGTTGTTTTCGGTTTCGGTTTATTTAATTTCGCGTTTACTGCATTCAATATAAATCTAACTCGTTCGATCACACGACATTCATTTTTTTTTCGAATCTTTTTTTTTCTGTTTTTTTCGGTTTCGGTTTATTTAATTTCGCGTTTACTGGGACGCACTCTTATTTTGTGTTCGAATGAAATATTTTCAATATAACAGTTTGTCCTTTTGAAATGTTGCTAGGCAACAACAAACGGTTGGTAAACTTTCTCTCCTGTGTCCTCCTCGGGGAAATTTTTATATTTAGTTGAAAATTATTGTAAATATTACAAGTCAATTGGAGCTCAGTATGACAGACGCAATGAGGATAGCAGACCTGCCGAGGGTAAGTAAACCTTTACGTGTTTGTTGACTTGAGTTTAGTCACAGAACGCCGCCGCCGTTAGACAAATTTCTGACTGATACTGTGAGCTGATCTGTATCTTCAATATACATTTCATTTGTACCCCCCCCCCCACCCCAACACACACCCCAGGCTGGAAAACAAGTTCCAATTGGGGACAGAGCAGCTACTTGTCTTCAAGAAATAAAAAGGGTAAGTTCTAATGAGCGTTTTGAGGGACCCCAAAAGGCTTGATTAAAATTTGGACATTAGTTTTAACATTTTGGCTTTCAAAAGACACAGAAAATATTTGAAACGAAATACAAGTTAGATGACCACGAGGAAACACATTGATTAACTTAAAATCCAAATAAGATGGACATTTGTGTCATTGAACGTCCAAAAGATGTCATTTTCTTGAAATGTTGATCCATGTCGCAATTTTGCATAGTAAGGCACTAACTCGGAGTAAGTGCCCAAAGCTTGCCTGCTAATTTTTCATCTCTGAGGTCGTCTCATAGCCTAAATACAAGCGTGTGTAATTATTCACACTAAAGTCTCCTGACTGGTTTTGTTGAAAGCAACTGTTGGTGTTGGGGGGTGTCATTTTCCCACTTTCCACCAGGTCGCTGTTATGGATAACTGACACTGACATACATGGAATGGGTGGACAAAGTTTTCCAGGCAACTTTTTTGCTTTCAGGGGGAGTATGAAAGTCGTAACAGAGCTGGGACGGCACATGTTGTTGCCTTTGCTGCTTTGTCTCTTCCACCTTTTCTCCATTGTTACACTATAAATGACAATGAAGCAGACAGGGAAGTGAAGTTAATTACCTGACGCTTGCTTCCCCCGCCCTGTGTCATGTTGAAAGCAGTTTTGGTGTCAAATAATTATTTGATGTCACAATAGATGTTGCCGACTACATCTATCATCTAATTGTGGATGGCAGGATGCAGTGTCACAAGGCACACAGTCATGGCATTATTCTGCCTTTGCTGGCAGAGATTGTGCGTTCTGGATCTGACCGCACAAGACTGAATCTCTATGTGAAAGAATCTGAAGACTGGTGCTTTTCTGAGTATCTGTGCAGGCTCACTATGGTCATATTGCACCATGTTATCGGTTTCACAAAGCCATGATAAATATGTCAAAACGGTGTTATTTCTACTTGTTCTTTTTTCCAGGCCGCAACTCCACCTGTGGTTCGAAAGTACCGCAACAGCAACAGACCAGGACTCGGCATGGTCCGAGTGCACCATGGCAAGGCCAACGACCCAAAAGTGGCCGTCACACTCGTTCACGGTCTCTGCACCAAGTCTTCGCAAACGGTCAGCTGGCATTTGAAAGTCCATCCATCAATTTTCTATCGCACTTGTTCTCAAAAGGGGTCACGGGTGAACTGGAATCTATTTTTGGAGAGAGGTGGGATCCACTACATAGTGGTCAAAATGTATTGTGGCTAATTTTATGGATGAGGCCTTGAATAATATATTATTGCAAAAAAAAAGATACTGTTATTTTATATGTGACAGGCTGCGGTTATGCTCAACCCGCAACCTGTCAGCAAGTTCCAACAGAAGCTGCAGGAATTCAGTGAGGCTGTGATTGCCTCACAGAAGGCGGCGTTACAGGGCCGCTCACCAAACCCTGCCGGACTTCCCACCTGGTACAATGAGCAAACCACGTTTGGAATTAAAACACTTCGGGGTACGTTGCTCCAAATAATCTCTTTAGGTTTCGAGTGTGGTTGGTTTCTCATTTTTTCTCATTTTTTCTTATTTTTTTGTGCAGATGTGGATGCCGCCAATTTGATTTATCCTCCTAAAACTTTGGAAGAGCTGGAAAAGGAGGAACAGGAGGCGCACAAGGTTTACGTTCGCAGTCACAACGGATACTTTGTTGGTGAGAACTCTGCAAAACAAAAAGCTAAACAAGTCAAGTTGTATGATCAAAGAAGAAGAACACCATTTTATTCAATCGTAATTGTGTTCCAGGTGAGCAAAAAGACAGGAAGTACAACTATGACAAAGGCATTTGCTTTGGGATCCAGACGCCCTTTTGCAAAGACGGACGCCAAGTCAGTAGAAGTTTGCATTGGTTGGGAGAATCCACCAGGTGACACCAACAGCAAAACTTAGATTTTTTTTTTTGAATGTATTTTTTTTTTATTTTGTACTGACTGCTTTTTACTGAGCCCGGTTCTATCATTAGCGGGCCTATAATGATGTAAGACCACGTGACTATGGTGGTTGCCGAGCAGCAGTTGCCAGGAAACACTGGCCACTGCTATTTCACCTTCGATCAATCATTAATCAATTCCATATTTTATTTTTAACTTCACATTATCTATTGTTTGATTTTTACTTATTTTGATTTTTTTTTAAATATGAAGTGTTTATTTTATCTTTTTCAATGGGCATGTTTTACTTATGTATTTTAAGAAGCATCCATCCATAATCTGACCCGTTTATCATGACGAGGGTTGCAGTATTATTTCATATTTATAGAATAACAATATATTTGGATAAATTGCCATTAAAACATATATTTGACCAAATTTTCATGAAATGTCATTTATCGAATTATTTGGGATAATGGGAAAGTGTCACATGACAGTATAAAAAAAATTGCGGGGCTCATATTCAAGGATGGTGAATTTTTGACTCATAAATTGTTAATAATTTATTTTCTGAAGGTTGTACAATCCAAACCCCGAGTGGAAGAGATCTCCAAACAGTAGGGAGAAGTTGGAACAACAAATTGGAAACGTGAACAAGTACGTTTTTTTTTTTTTTTAAATATTTCACACCCACTATGTTGAAACTTCAACTTTTATAACTTGCCATGTGATTCTCCCAGGAGAGGAAACAACGTTGAGGTGCCCCAAGACCGCACCTTTGGAATTATCATACCACAAGATGAATACAGTGAGGTTTTTTTTTATTTTTTTAATGAGAGTGGATGGCGTGAGCTAAGGTGGGACGATGACGTTTTCACATGTTTGGGCAGGTGTGGGGGAACTGATCCATTCGGCGGAGCAGCCAGCGGATAAGCGAGAGCGAGCCGGCGAGCGCCAGCGTTGCCTGGCCATGGCCGTGCGGAATCGCCTCAAAGTGATCAATTTGCAGAACTTCCCGTCATTGCTGCAGGCCTTCAGGCACTATGACAAGGTACACTTGGACTCGCAAATCCGGGGTTGGGATGATTCGGTCTATGGCCCACTTCAGGCATGAAACAAAGAAATTTATTAGGGCACCACACAAATTTGAGTAATGACCAAAGAAAATACATTAAGTGAATCTGGAAAGTATTCACAGCATTTTAGTTTGTCCACGTTTTGGTGAGTTATGACTTTATTAGAATGTGGATTTGGCTTTGACATTTTTTGATTTTTTATTTTGTGTGCAATTTTATAGAAAAAAAAATACATGTAATTCCGTATCGGCCGTGAAATAACAACTCAGATGTAAACAAAATACTGATGCTGCTCGACCAACTTGGGGCCTACTTGTTCCTAACTGTTCCTTGAACCAATCAAATTTTGAATTCGCCTTACAGTACCATCTCTCTGACCCACCGAAAAGTCAGCATTTTTCCATCCTCTGGTTGGTGAATCAAAGCTAAGCTTGTTGCCAGCTCTGATGAGCAAAAGACTTCTGTGATCTGCACGCATTTAATATTCAAGATTTTCAAACATGCTTCGTGTTCTTTTCCGATTTGATAAATACTGATTGTGATCCCTTGATAGATGATTGAGATTTTTTGTATTTGTGGTTTCTGTAATTTTGATGTGATAGCAGTACAGTAGATTACTTCGCTAAATCCCCACTGAAGGGCCACCTACCAAATACGCGGGCTGTGAATGGACAAACTACTTGTCAGTGAGCACAGATTTAGAAATCCATACAGTGTGTATAAAATGAAAGAGGAACAATCTCCACGGACCAGAAAGTAGTCTGGTAACCGGACGGCCCGGGAGATGGATTGATTGAGAACCGCGACAGGCCGAAGCTCTGACTACAAAGGCGATTTTGTCCCTAGAAAGGCAAAGGGCGCATCGACAAGGAGGACCTGCAGGAAGTGTGCCGTCACTTTCAGGTGGTTGCCAGCGAGGCCGTCCTGGACGACGTGGTGAACGACTGCGACCTCGACCGAGACGGATTCATCAACTTCCTGGAGTTTGCCAACTTTCTGAACTTGAAGGAAAAGATGCCGCTGGACAGACGGGAGCAGCATTTAGTCATGAACAGTGAGTACCATGAGTGCAGAATTTGTCGATAGAAGACAAACAATTTTTCTTTATTTTTTTGGTGTATATTTTCAGGCCAGTTCCAGACCGGCTTAGACTATGACCACAAATTGCGATTGTCTGAACTTCCTGGTTGTGGCGCTTTGTTGACAACCAATGACCTGGAGCCTTTCAAGACCGGCAACTCAAAGAGGATCGTGAGGACCCTCAGACGACCCGAGGCGCTCTCAGACCGCTTCATCACCACCGCCTCCTTCATTGGGGCCGCTGCGGAGGAGCCGCAACCATCTCGTAAGTCACTATTATGGATACAACCCCTGGCAAAAATTGTAGAACAAATTCAGTTGTTTGATGTTTTTTAAAAATAAAATAAAAAAAGCAGATCACAGACATGGCACAAACTAAAGGCATTTCAAATGACAACTTTTTGGCCCTATGAAACAGTAAAAGAAATAAAAGGGGCTTAGTAACAGTTTCATCTTTCGACCAAGCTCTCATGTTGGAGCCTTGATTTATGTCGGTCCACTTGGTGCTACGGCTCTCCGAGGTGTGCCGACTACTTTTTAATTGCAGACTAATGAGCTGATATAAAGTTATGCAGGTGCTAATTTTGGGAATTAAAATTTACACGGTGAATCCATAATTTTTTCGCTTTGGTTGGTCTAAAATAAGTAACTGTGAGTGGCTACCACATTATTTCTTGATTTCAAGCCAGAAAGTTGCCATTTGAAATGAGTTTACTTTTGTTTATATACGCTCTAAAAACAATAGGGTAAAAAAACAAACAAACTAATTTTGAGTTAAATTTGACCGAACTACTGTGTTTAAAAACCCACACTTAGGTCAATATGAGCCCAAAAATTGGGTTATTCAGTTTTGACCCAATTTTTAGGGTTAAATGAATATAACAAATTGGGTCAAAACAATGCAAAAAATTGGTTTATTCCATTTTGACCTAAACTTGAGGTTTAAATGAATACGTGAAATTGGGTCAAAATAATGCAATTTCTATTTTTTTTTTTTTTTACCCAACTCTGATTTAACAAGAAAATTGAGCCAAATGGCAGCCAATTCCAGTTAAAATACATATATTTGTATTCTTATCTTAATTATAATTCCCCTAATTATTTAATGAAAATAGACCAATATTAAAAATGTCTTCATATCTATTAAGCCTGAACAAATTAATTCATTAAACAGCCATTTTCAAATAAGCAAATATCAGCCAAATTTTTTTGTATTATAGTGGAGGAAGACTGTATTGCGACATATACCACCCATGTTCGCTCTCCTTAGACACTCGCACCTTCGGTGTACCGTCAGTGCGCACGGACCTCGTGCCGCCTCGCAACCGGAAGTTCAACAACAACATCAACTACGGTGACATGGTCTCAGTGATGGACCTGCTGCTGCCATCGGTGTACGGACGCCAAGGAGTCTACCAGGACCACTTCTTCTGCCCACGCTCCAAGTCAGAAGTATGTATTTTCGCTACGTCGGACTATTGCAAAAAAAAAAAAAAAAAAATGTGCACACACGGAGACTTGTAATGTTTGGTCGTTACAAGTATTTTGATTCCCGTTGACAGATTGCTGAGATTTTCGGCAACGTGGGTGCAAACCTTCCTGAAGAGACGTTTGAGGAGGCCTGGAATCTGGCGTCGATGAAGCATCCCGACGGCGAAGTCTGCGTGGAATCCTTCCGAACGGTACTTGAGGAAATCAATGCTTTGTAGTGAGGACAAAAACAAAATTGTTTTAGCGGCTATTTTTTACTTTTCTATGAAATGATTCAAAATGTCAACTATCAAGACAAAAACTATCTTTTATTTAGCCGAGGAACAAAAACGTGTGGTGGTATGCTGTGGACGCGTAATCGAGTCATGCAAATGATTTGCTGTGTTTTTTTTTTATCATCTGTTCCATGTGAATATTATATTTGAGGTCTAATTGCATGAAAAAGACAAAACAATTCATTTATGGCTTCACGGAGCTATTTTGCCATCACTTTGGCTAAGCGGATTAATGAAGCGTCTTGTTGGCACGCCGCCTCGACTCGTTGACGCTGTGAAATAGTTTTAAATAAATCAAAATATGAATTCATAACACGTGTCGCGTGTGCTTCTTTGTGTCTGCCGCCATTCAAAAGGGAGTGACGCGATGGCGTGACGAATTGTTTTAACGCCGTGTCCGCTGTCGCGTTGACATCGCGTCACTATGCCTAATCTCATTAGCGCATCACGAGAAAATGAATCATCTTGTGTGAACTAAACACTACGAATGACGCATTAGTGTTCTGCTACATTCAAATGTCTTTTTGTGTTCCTCTCACAGCAATCGTGTCGAAATTGCATTTCTGCAAGTTGACGTCTTCCACCTTTGACGATATTAAAGCAGTGCAAGTTTTGCAAGTTGCACTGGGATCATCAATAAGCGGGAAATATAAACAGAGTGCTGACACATTGTTGGAGAAGTTCAAAACCAGAATTCTCTTATTCCATCTCACCTCATCATTGATTTGCGACTTACTCGGAATCGATACGCAAAAAAGAAGCAAACAAAGACCCAAATGACTGGGGACAAGTTCTCCCCCCCCCCCCCCAAAAAAAATCATCCCAGGTGGTCAAATAATTAAAATTTGCCTTACTAATAATATAAACTTAAATATCAGGTCAGTTTCGCCAATATCAATACTGCTACTTTAAATAATTAAGGTTGATGGATCATGAAATTGCTCATTTGAATGCATTTTCATGACCTACGAGTGTTTGACTTTGACATACTTTGTAAGACAACTTACTCATGAGGCAAAACTACGAGTTGGCATGTTGATACTACTAGTAGGGTCGGTCTAGGTTTAATTGTGAACTAGTAGACCAAAAGTGGCACCAGTAGCAGAAACATATATTCGTAGTGAGAGATGTTTTTTCTTTGAGTGCACTAAATTGTCTTACCAAAGAGGACAAAGGGTGCACCATACATGGGCCTCAAAAACGGCTTTTCAAATAACTTCCTGGTTCACAGGCCTGTGCCGTTTTTGATTCTGGGCGAGAGAGGAGTGATTGGATCCGAACTCAAACTGCAACACAACAGCGGAAAAATGACCCAGTCCATATATTGAATTTGTGATTTTTCATTGGGGAAAATTCTATGAAGATGCCATTTTGTTTAAAAATGGTGAATGGAGTTTTAAATATATCGTCTAAATAATTGCAATGACCTCATGAGAAGGCACCACAGTCACATTAAAGACCACACCATTTTATTTCCTGATGATATTCAGTCAGTTGGTTTCCGGTTCCTGTGCCAAACGGTGGTCACCATCCAGTTCTGAGACGCTCCCTTTATCAATGGAATCTGACAAACAAATGGTACAAAATACAAGTTAATCATGTGGTCGGTCACAAGAAATTTTTGAAAATAAATTTGATTTCAATCCTGACGAGTCTTTGTGGGATTGCGAGACCAGCCATTTTATTCAAATCAGGGTTCAAACCTTGGTTAGGGTTTCATATTGTTGTTTCAAGTCACTGAACGGTACAATTGAGTTAAACCACTCGGGTGCCAACCGTGACTTTAAATTGCACAACATATTGTTAATATAATCTAATGTGTTATATGTTACCTGCTTCACTCAAACTCATTCGAGTTGACGTCCAGGTCGAAGTTTGCTCAGCGAGGAGCGGGACCACTTTACACAGGATCCATGTGATTGAATCCCGGATGTCCACCACCGAGATGTCTGGCCACCGGCCACGGCTCCCTTCCTTCGATACCGTCAGCTCCCGGCTGCGTACAGAATGTTCGGCGTCCGGCGAAGGCGAACCTCCGAATGTTCGCTCGCTGCATTTCGGCGGTTGAATCCCCGCGCGGGACTATGAGGCCTGCTTCCTCCGGCCGCACTTCGCGGGTGAGCTCACCGCGAGTCCCCGGCACACAGAGAGACGGCTGATCGCCATGGCGGCTCGAGGGAGATGGCGTTACACCGGGAGACCGCGGACCACACGAACGGTAGGAGGATTGAATCCAACGCCTTTTCTTTGACCACCTTTCACAAGTGGTCCCATTTTTCTTCCCCACAAAACGTTTGTGTTCGTGCATGCGCCTGCTGCGTTCAAGTACTGTTGGACATCGCATAACTAAATTCAAAAGCGTCGCTTCTAAACATTTGTCAGCGTCAAAATATGAGTCAAGTTGGTCACTAAAGCCAGTGAATGCCACAATTTAAAGTGCAAAGAATACTTTATTGTTCGTATCGTTATTATGATAGTTTATTATACACACATGGTGCATGTTTCAACAATGGTAAAAATGATCCCATCACTCTGTTGTGAGCGGTCACAAAAAGGTAATTATACCAAAATATTGAAATTGAAGGTCATTTCAATACATTATTGCCCATTCATTTATTTAATCAAGTCACATTTAATTGTTTATTTCAATGAATTTTATAATTAACTTATTTTTAATCAAATTTCTGCCCGTTTTATTTAATGAAAATCACATTTTAATGATTTCACGGACTGATTTGATTATGGCAAAAAAAAAAACAAAAAACAAAAAAACAAAGAAAAACAACCGTGACGAATCACAAATATCGGACTTTTTAGCGATATGTTCAAAGGTTTAGCACACACGGAAAATGGTAAACGATGCCACAGCCTGAAACAAAAACAAAGAAAACAAAGTTTTTAAAAGTTAAGTTAGACAGTGAAGGATGAAGCTCACAGGAAATGACATACAAATGCCGCGATACGACCTCAAAAAACAGCTCATATTCGGATGAAAGTGACATATTTAGTTAGCTTGAAGGCATTTTTAATAAAGTACATATCATTTATTGAATCAAGTCACATTTAATTGTTTATTTCAATGAATTTTATAATTAACTTATTTTTAATCAAATTTCTGCCCGTTTTATTTAATGAAAATCACATTTTAATGATTTCACGGACTGATTTGATTATGGCAAAAAAAAAAAAAAGAAAAACAACCGGGAAGCTCAATTATGGATGTTTTTTTGGTTTTTAAGAGCAATATTTATTTTTAATCAAATTTCTGCCCGTTTTATTTAATGAAAATCACATTTTAATGATTTCACGGACTGATTTGATTATGGCAAAAAAAAAAAAAAGAAAAACAACCGTGAAGCTCAATTATGGATGTTTTGTTGGTTTTTAAGGGCAATATGAAATAATCGCAAATATCGGACTTTTTAGCGATATGTTCAAAGGTTTAGCACACACGGAAAATGGTAAACGATGCCACAGCCTGAAACAAAAACAAAGAAAACAAAGTTTTTAAAAGTTAAGTTAGACAGTGAAGGATGAAGCTCACAGGAAATGACATACAAATGCCGCGATACGACCTCAAAAAACAGCTCATATTCGGATGAAAGTGACATATTTAGTTAGCTTGAAGGCATTTTTAATAAAGTACATAAATATTTTTTCTTATCTCCGCTGTAATGTAGAAGGACACGTGAGTGCTTTTACCTCACAAGTCCAGCAGAGGGAGCTATGGGTCTATTTTTAAGTCTTCTTATTAAACGATCGAAAAATGACGCACCAATTTGCAAGTTTGTGTTTTTTGTCGGTTTTTTTAATATTGCATATATTTCCATATTTGACACCTGGAAGTGTCTGTGGAATAGGATGAAATGGTAAAATATTTATTGTAGTTTTGATGATATGAACTGTTGACATGAAGCTTCCATACACACATGAAATACTTTTTGCAATAGACAATGACAATAACATGACTAAATGTGTAGTATTTTATAGGCTCCATAGTGTCCAATATCATTAGTCCATGTTATGTTGGGTATTTGTGGATTTATATCTTAAAAATGTCATTGAGCAAATAAAGAAAATGTTCATCCATAGTATTGAAACTAATTTCTAAATTTACATAAAAAAATGCAATTATTTCATATCATTCATTTTGTAATTTATTCCACTATTTTCAAATTATCAACTCAGGAGAAATTGAACAAGACCAAGAAAAAAACACTTTGGTACGAATATGAAAACTTCATAAAATATACATAACATATCAACTTATTATGATTATTGTTGCACTCTTTAAAAATAAAGTTAAGTTGAATTTGTGAAACTATTCTGAATCTTTCGAACACGTACACAGTTAAATGGCATCTACATGATGTTACGTGGCCAAACTGCCACTGAAAGGCACTGTTGTCTGTATATTGCGTGTGTGTGCTTGTGTGTGCGTGTGTGTGTGCGTGTGTGTGTGTGTGCGTGTGTGTGTGTGTGCGTGTGCGTGTGAGAGAGAGAGAGTGAGAGCGTGCGTGTGACTGTAAATACATACCCTAATAAAATCCATATATTCGGTGCTATATTGTGAGCAGAGTGTGATAACAAGCAGCTTGACAAAATAAGAAATGGTGCCATTTGGAATTTACAAGTCTTGCAATTTGACACTTTCTGTGGCACCAAAAATGTTTTAATTGAGGCCAAATAGGAACTATAACGATGTGATAGCTTTTTACGTGTTAATGAAGACAGTTGAATGCCGTGACATGGCGCAGCTATTTATCAAAATTGATCATTTGCACACACTGACCATTTTCT